TCTTTCTCCCTTCCTCTCGCGAAGTTGCATTATGGTACTAGTATTTCACTATATAGTAATCATTAGAGTGCCAGGAGAGTTAAATGTCCTAAAATTCATGGATTTGGTCCAATTATGCTTTAAACTTTTCGTATATATTTACGAAGTCCATCTCATCGACGATCTTTATCTATCAAAGGATAAGAATAAATTATGTACAAGATAGTCGGTGTGTTCCTTAGAAAAAAAAAACTGTTCTACAGACTAGGATTAAGAGATTAAACGGTGGTTCCATGAACAGTGAATACGTGCGATGTTTACCTACTCGTGCATCGTGCGTACATCGCTTCACTGTAAAACTGCTTTCAAAGTTTAATATAGCGAAGTGTTTTATAATGTGAGATAAACGAAGCTATCGTCCTAGATCACGAGTACCATAATTTACAATCGATATTAATGAATCACTGATACGAATCGTTTAATCTAATCTGATATAAATACTAAACAGTTTTTCTGACGAAATTCAGAATTCTTTGTCTCGATTTAATAACATAATCGAGGCATTAATCTCCGGAAAAAAGCAATCTAAATTCGGAGGTATGCATTACGTGATTTAGGACGATTAATTCGAAATTAATTAACGGCTGCATCGGGCAGCGAGCGCGAATAACGCACGTTGTGAGTTTTATACCGTGTAAGCGCGAACATATACATACTGCTCGCCAGTAGACATACATACACGTGTATATATGTATTGTTATGTGTTATGTTATTGCCTAATAATTACGAAATAGAACGTTATGAGAATTATAATTCATATTCTTTCCTTTTCCTCCTAGCCAGAGATGTCTGTCCAAAGAGATTGTCCAAGAAGATTGGAAGTGAGCTTACGCCCGCGCGTATTTTTCACGCTAAACTGCATCGTAATTTAATTGTTATCTGTTTATCGTATTGCATAGCGTTTACAAATAACAAAGTTACTAATTATTATCTTTGAAAAAAGAATCAGTCGAAATGACTGCATAATTTTGAAAAACAAACAAAGGCACGAAAATATGCGAAGTGTAATATTTTATCTATAGCAACCACTTATGCAATTGCAGTCATGATTAAAAATAACTTTTTAATACTGACAAAATTAGCAGTTTATATTGCAATATATTTATGCGTATATTCTTTATCCTGGTCCTGTTATTATGAATTACGTCACTGTTTGTCATGATTTGACTATGCTTTTGAAACAATCGCGATAAATAAAAAAGGGTGTTATCAAAGATTATCACATCAATTATATCAGATTATCAATAAATCAGATTATTATCATTAAGAAGTTTTTTATGTCATTTTGTTTGATACACACGATTCGGTAATAACGTCACAGCTTTGATCTATTCACCACTACAAAAATCTAATTATATATCACAACATAGAATAAAGTTATATCCCTTAATTATTAAATCACTTTATTATCAGTTTCGGTTTCTTTTACTTTCAAGAAAAAAAAACAAGAGAAAAATTTTATATAAGTTTTATATAAAGCAAAATGTAATTATTTTAATTAAATTATTGTTATTGTTATTTTTTAACAACTTGAATAAAGTTTACACTTGTGTTTTAAATTAAATCCCCATTTAAAACTTGCATTTATATATTTTTAAATAAATAAATATATAACCAAATAAATATCACAAATTAACTCAAATGTATTAACAAATAAAATTTATTATAATTTTAAATCTTCTTACTTAAATATAATTTCCATACTAACAAATTATTTCTTCTTCTCATCCTGCTCCTCTTTTCTTGCTTTCCCATTTTCTCGCTTTTGTCTTCTCTCTTTCTTTCTTTTGCTCTCTTTTCATTCTTTTTTCTTTTCTGCTTCTCTCTCTCTCTCTCTCTCTCTCTTTCCCTCTCTTTCTACCAGATATATAAATAATCCATAATATCCATTATTATATAGGAAGACTTTACCTCAAAGTTGTGCGTCCGTATTACTTTTTGGTTGGAATTAAGTATCCCTACCCTAAGTTGCAACAGCTTCAAGAACGACAATCGGGGCAGTGATATTGATAATGATAACATAGTTATCTATGATATATACTATAGAATTTTAACGCCTCACTTTTTATCATTCACGAGAAGACTATGTCAAGAGAGAGAACGGCACAGTAACATTGAACAATATTTAAATTGATTGTGGTTATTGAGTGGTGCAATAAATAAAGAAAAGAATACAGATGATATAGATTCAACAAGAATTATTTTGTCAAGAGTTGTCTCAAGTGAATTTCTCCAAGAAAAGGTACTGCAATATTACATCAATTTTTAACGAATTTTTGTAACACATTAACCGCTTTTCTTTATAACCTACTTAAATATATAAGAATTTTTTAAAATGATGAAAAAGGCGCCACTAAAGAAACTAGTATACAAAACGTTTTATTTCTATTTAAGACATCAAAACATTAAAAAATAGAATTGTCAGATAACTTAGAAATGTGATACAAGTGCTATGTAAAATTTAAAAACATTTTAAAACTTTTAAAATCACTAATACACAAAATGTTGGTTAAGCTTGGATTATATTGGAGTTTCGATTTTTTATGGAATATAGTGTGTGATGTGCAAGATGTTGATACATCGCGCAGACGTTGTCATTGCGCAGAGAGAAACGAGATTTCTTCGACGGAATTATGTTAAAAGAATATAAAATTGCTAAAAAAATGTTGCTAATTTCAAGATTGTGTTGTTTTAGTTTGCGTGATAAGAACAATAAGAGGTCACAGCCTCAATTTGCATCTTGTTAAAAATTGTGGACAGATTGAAATTTTACCAAACTTAATGTACAATGTTAGCGCTTATGCGCTACATATTATTGATAAGTACTTTCGTACTTTGGGCAAATGGAATGAATAATGAGAAATCTGCAAAAAGGGAATGGTGGGAAACCACGTTAATTTATCAGATTTGGCCTAGAGGATTTCAAGACAGCGACGGCGATGGTGAGGGTGATCTGAAGGGTAAGTCACATAAATTGTTGCTATTATAAGTAAAAATTAAAATTATATTAAGATTTCATCGATCAGAAACTTAAGAATGTTAAAAAAATATTTTTCTTCTTAATATATTCATGAATGTATCATTATATTGTATATTAAATAATTTTTTAATACAATATTATTTATTATATTACATTTATGTAAACTCATTTAATGTAATTTTAGTAATTTATTTACAGGTATTATTAGCCAGCTTGATTATATCACAAATCTTGGAATCGAAACAATTTGGTTGAATCCTATTTATCGTTCGCCATTAATCGATTCTGGATATGACGTCTCCAATTACACGGATATAGATCCTATTTTTGGCGATTTAGAAGACTTTGACAATCTAATACAAGAGGCTCACGATCGAGGTATAAAATAGTAAATAGTTTACTGCAATTTTCCTGAGATTTTCAATTTTTCCAACAAAAAAAAACATACGGAAAGATTTTTCCAATCTACAAATATATGTGTAGAACGTAATTATGGATAAACATTATATAGTATTGTTTTCAATGTTTAGTATATTTTAATATTACTTTCTTAATCACTTGTTGTGTTATAATTTCATCGTCAATTTTTTTTAGGATTGAAAGTCATTCTGGATATTATTCCTAATCATTCCAGCGATCAGCATGAATGGTTCCAGTTATCGGCAAAAAATATCGAGCCATATGTTGATTATTATATCTGGACAAATGGTGGTATCGATAAGGACGGCAACAACATTCCACCAAATAATTGGGTACTGGCATTTTTCTTCATTTCCATTGTTTTTTTCTTTTTAATATAATGTACAATATTTTTAGATAAAGATTTTTATAAAGATCAGTACCTAAGTAAGATTTTTTTAAAATTATATGCTAGATTTCAAAGCAATCTAATTTGCAAACAACGATGAAAATATTTTAGTAATATATAAATATAGATATATCTTTTTATGTATTTTGTGCATAGGTAAGCATACATAGTGACGAAGAAGGATCTGCATGGACATGGCACAATGAAAGACAACAATGGTATTATCATAAGTATCATAGTTCTCAACCGGATCTTAATTTGAGAAACGAGAAAGTAATCGAAGAATTAATGGTAACGTAGATAATAATTTGAAATATTCATTTATAATTTCGGAAATCCAAATCAAAACAGAAGATACAAATTAAAAAAAGCTGAAAAGATTAAAATATCAACTTTCTTGCATTACATAACAATTTGTAATTTCTTTAATAATTTCATAATGTTTGAAACAAATTTAAAAGCAATTTGATCTCATTTGATCAATATAAATTATTAATTTAAACGATAATTATGCTCTAAATTTAATAATAATTAATTTCTATATTTTATTAATCTATATTTTACAATTTTTATTTAAAAAATAATTAAGAAATTCTTGAATAATTCTTATTCTTTGTAAAATAATCTGAAAATAATTCAATTCTGTGAACAGGATATACTCGATTTTTGGTTGAAAAGAAACGTCGATGGTTTTCGAATTAATGCAGTACCTTATTTTTTCGAAGACGAAGCATTAAGAAATGAATCCTTTGCGGGAGAGGGTACTTATACTTTTAGTCTTCCTGAAAGCACCGAGCTTCTTTACATATTTCGTGAATATATCGATAAATGGGTATCAAGAAATAATGCCTTATCAAAGTATGATTTTTAAAGACCTTTTCAAAACTTTATTTTTTTAATAATAATATTATTAATACTTATATTATTATAACAGTATATGTGTTAATTATTAAAATTAATATGATTTTATAACATTAGGTTATTAATCGCCGAATCATACGATACTTCTGTTGAAAATTTATTGTCGTATTACGGCAATGGCACGCACAAAGGAATTCCACCGTTTAATTTTAAATTTATTACACATATTCGTAACAGCAGCGAAGCTAGTTATATTAAATACATCTTGGAGAAATGGCTTATATTTCTTCCAAAAGACACCAAGACCAACTGGGTGGTAAGAATTTTAAATTAATAAATTCAAATTAAATTTATAAAAATTGAAAAAAGTTTTATTTAATTTGTAACTATGTTGTTTATGCTATTTGAAAAAATAGCTATTTGATTAATATACTTTCACTTTACTTAGAAGCTTAATTATTTTTTATAAATGTAGCTTTCAAATCATGATAATTCGAGAGCAGCTTCAAGAATCGGACTCAACCGAATCGACGGTCTTCATATGCTTAGTCTTCTGTTACCTGGACAAGCATATACATACTATGGCGAAGAAATAGCTATGTTGGACACAAAAATATTTTGGAACAGAACTATTGATTTTATGGGTTGCGCCAGAGGCATAAATGAATATGAATATTTTTCAAGAGATCCAGCGAGGACTCCCATGCAATGGAGTTCCAAAATTTCAGCTGGTTTCTCTACAAATAAAACCACATATCTCCCTATTCATTCTAATTATGCTTATAGAAACGTAGAAATACAACAAAGTAAAAAGAGAAGCAATTTGAAAACGTACCAGAAGTTGGCTAGTCTAAGAAAAGAGTTAGTTTTTACAAATGGAGATTATGAATTTGCAAGTCTGAATAATGATCGCGTATTGGTATTGAAAAGGTTGGCATTACAATATTTATATAGTAATAAATAATATTTGATAAATAGCCGAATCTGTTGAAAACATATTTTGCAAACTATCTGCTACAAATTTTGTCGGCAGAATGGCAATAAAAATAGAAATCTTTAACAGAATATTTTAACATAAAATAATATGAATAATTTTGTTTGAAAACAATTTAGATATTTTTAAATTATTTATTTTATTTAAAAATCAATAGTTTACATTTTTTCATATTATTTATGTGTTATTCTGTAAGTTAATCTCTTTTATTTATATTACGTTTGTAAATTATTTTAAAGTTTAGAAAGTTTATATAAATACCGAAATTTTGGATTTATTTTTTATTGATAAGGTATTTGGAAAATCATCCAGTGTATATTGTCGTAATTAATTTGGGTCTACGGCAAGAGGAAATTAATATGACTTTAATTTACCCTAATTTGGAAGATACTTTGGATGTTATTGTGGCTTCTAGCAATGCAATTCGCGTCACGTAAGTTATAATTATTTAAAAAAAAGTAACGATAGAATCGCAAATTACTCTATAAATTAATGATATATTTTCAGAGACACTGTTCCACGGGATAATTTTATATTAACAGCAAACGCTGCGCTTGTATTAAAAGGCGAAGAAAAACAAGGCCAAGCCACAACTGATCCAATTATTACTCCAAGTACGTCTTTCAGTAAATATATATATTAATATAATATATAAATATATTAATATATATTTAAGAAAAAATAATTTTATTTATTTATTTATGCATGCATGCACAGATGCATAAAATTATCAATTTCATGAATTATTAATTATTATATTAGTATTTATCGTATTAATATTTATCAATTAACACTATTACTAATTATTAGTATAATAAATAAAAAACTAACGTTACCACTAAAAATACATCTTTTACAGCTAAAGTAACCGGAGATCATACATCCGAAAGTACGACAGAAAAAGGAGGAAAGAGTTCGACAGTAGAACCAGAATCAACTAGGAAGCCCAATAATGCAATGTCAAGTTGTACTTCTGCATTCTTGTTAATGATAAGCCTCATAATAACATCGTGCAGATTTTAAAAATAATAATA